GTATCTCTGACTGTTGGTACACATCGTTTGGTAAAGAAACATGTTAACATATAAATGTACTTAAATTAATTTTTAATTAAAAAAATAAGCATATAAAGACATGAAAGATTACTAGTCAATTGGAACCATATATCAAAAATTGTGCAAGAAATTCATGAGAATAGACTCTAGACAATGAGAAATAAATAAACAACATATATTAGCACTAACACATTTACAATTAAAGTGCTTGTGAACACTGAATGGTAAAGATTGCATTCATTTTGCACTATTAAAGAATGATACTTAAACTTTGCACTGCATTAAGCAAATTGAAAGACAATATTTTATATTGGAAATATCTTCCTTTGTCCATAGTTGTAGTTTCAATATAATAGTTTCTTAATAAGTATGGTTATTCGCATGCACACCAATTTGTTACTTGAATTACGGAGTATATATATTGATCTGATAAATTGCTTAACATATATAGATATAAGAAGATGTGGTATGAGTGCCAATGAGACAACTCTCCATACATGGATAGGATTTAAAGAATGTTCAGCTCAATGCACTATGTTTTTGTGTTCTCACAAATAGTGATGAGGTCTGGGAATACAACTACATGTATAAAGCCAGTCACATTAGGGTTTTGATTGCATGAATGCAATTTTTACTGATATATGTCCCAAAAATGTATATATATGGTGATAGTATAGCTCACAGTGATAGTGGGTATGAGATATTAATGAACGAAGTGTACTGAAAACTTAATTTCAGTTATCTTTTTACTTTCATCCTACTCTCAGTTCATTATATTATAATTTAAAAAAGTATATATATATATATTTATATAGATGTCATAACATGTAATATAAAGTGTAAATATAATATAAAAAAAGAGAAAATCATATATATATAAATAACAAATTTGAATGAAACCCTTAATCATGTTAAAGCCTATGGCATTAATGATTATCCAAAACTAAATTTTGAAAATGTAAAGACCCTATGTACTGAATGTGTTTATTCAACAAAAGTAAGAACATGTGGTATGAATTCACGTGGGGGTCTCAACATGGGATTTTGGGTACAGTTGTGCAGCTGGGATTTAAAAAACACCCCCATTCATATATTGAATAATTGTGAAATCCCTACCTACACATATATTCCACAGCAAAATCATAACCCATTAATATATTTCACAGCAAAATCATAACCCATTCATATATTTATCAGCTCAAATAATACCTATATACATATGCAAATAGATCGATGTGTTAGTGCAAAAGGTTCGATATGTGACGTTTTTTTTTACTATACTCTAGTGGGTAAAGATTATTAATTGTGACAGAGTAATAAAATTTGATCAATAACAAAACTTGTGTCAATAAGTTTCAGCAGATGTGGAAATTTTAATGACAAAGAGCTTGGGAAATTCAGTGAAGATCGTTGCACAACAAACTGAAAAATTATGACCCATTGATATATCACAATTGGTCAATTACTAACTATTGATATATTTCCTCCGTAAAATTGCACCACAATTGATTTATTTGACGTATCAAAAAAGGGACCCATTCCAGCGGGACATATGTATATACCTTCATATAGGAAGAGATCCCCCCGTGTATGAATTGCAAATGAGAAAACTATCAACCAGACACCAAAGGAGTTGATCTAAACATGTATATGTCAACAATGAGCAAAACCCATACCATGTAGTTAGCTATAAAAGCTATTGACATCTTGTAAAACAAATCAAAAGAGAATACTAGCAGATTGATTTGTGCTAAAAACATTAAACTAATATCAAAATATGGCAGACAGCAACCAACAACAACAACTAAATTATAGTATCCCGACTTGGGATCATTATTAAATTAAATTCTCCATATCTGTTTATTTCATTAAAACATTTTTTTAAATTGAAACACAATAATCTATATAAAACATGATAAATGGAATAAAAAACACAAATTGAAGGGGCACTGTCCTCCCTGAATCTACCCCTGAGATTCATTCTCCAAATTAACATTTATAACATATGACATAAACAACAGCTTGTATACAAAATTATTGAAATTGTGATCACGTTAACTTAAAAAGGAAAATAACAAAAATACTGAACTCCAAGGAAAATTCAAAACAGAAAGTCCCTTATCAAATGGCAAAATCAAAAGCTAAAACACATCAAACGGATGGAAAACATCTGTCATAATTAACAGAGTTCTCGAAAGTGGTGGTCAAAACGTTTTGACCACCAAAATTTATATATAGTAAGATGCGAATGGACAGACAACAACATGAATGAACGTAAAAGTACAAATAGATAAACTATTACATGCATAAGTGCAGGCGAGAATGTAAAACTTATACTACATTAATGCATCATATTACAATATTTTAATGTATTCCAAAAAAATCAAATATGATTGATTGATTGGTGCTTAATGCCACTTTCAGCACTATTGCAGAGCTCCAGATAAGCTGCGTATTTGCGTGATCACGCAATAAAAATAATTAAAAACCCAATGCAATTGCCCATTGCAGGGTTCAATAACTCAATTAAGTCAAAGGAAAACCCAATTATATGCCAAAACCATGAGTTCTTAACGCTTTTATTCGCTATCGTTTGCGTTATTTACCCTTACTTGATTACAGTCGTCGCGTAAATCTATTTTATAATATTTATAATTGGAAATGTCCTTTCGTTCTAAAAATAGAGCCCTGCATCAAGTAGCTGTAATGGGTCCCTGTTGGAATTTTCCGTTGCTCAAAAGGTACACGTGTTTATGAAAACATTTCGATCTTCTCGACGTTTATCCAATTAGCGTGTGACATGCCGTCATATTTTTTTCGAATTGCTCGGGATTTATCATAACATACAATGAAAAAAAACGAATGTAAATGTCCGGTAAAAATATTGAATAGAAGCATGTTTTCGGCTTCTTTTTGATAGCTGAGGAAAAGTTATGATGATAACAAGACTCAGCTAGTGATTTTAGGAAGCGGCCATTGAACGCACGGGCGTGTTTGCGTACCATAACGAGAACATTGCTAGAGCGATAAACACGGGGTTCCGTCAAAAACGAAATCAGTTGGAAAAAGTGAAAGGCCAAATCAATTATGACATGATATGTAGTTTGAAAGCATCGGAAACCAAAAGTTCTGATAAGGGACAACTTAACCCAGATTTATGTAAATTGAATTAAACGAAAACAGTTTATATATTATTTTTTTTCATTTTAGTTGATGAGTGATTACATGCACATATCCGTTTTTTACGTCAATGCAGCTTGACACTTTCTTTGTTTTGGTCTAATTGTTCTAGATGCTTAAGATAGTTGTCTTATTGGCAAGTGCAGTATAACATTGTCATTTATTTACTTGATGTTGCAGAATTATTTGTAAATTTAAGTTGAATGTGGTCTCTGTCATTATAAACCACCCTATAAAACTCAAAGTTTTGGGGTATATCTTAAATCTGGAAACTACTTTTTATTTTTATTAAAAAGTAGATCTGGCAAATGGGTGAAAGGACTGGCAAAACTTTCTTACAGCACCTAAATTTCACATATATTACACAAAAATCTAAACACTTAGCCACACCTACCCCAACTATAATTAAACTGTAGGGTGATCATATGGGATCTAGAAAGGCAATTAAGTCCTGTCCAACTAGTGACACCAGCTGCAGTTTACACAAGTTTTGAGAAAATACAAAACTGACAGAACGTTTAAAACGGGACACAAATTAAATGTACAATTGCTCGCCAGTCAGTGAATAAACCAAATAAAACAGCTAGCACATATTCTACAAAGAAAGAAACACATTTAAGATGGAAACACATCTGGGGTTGATATATATTGTGATTATAACATGCCTAAATATTCAATATTGTGTTGATGAAAAAACCCAATACATTAAGAAGCTTGGTGGTGAAAAACCCAATTTGATATTTGCTTGAGGGGTGAATTGGAATTGATAATGCAATTAAAAAACTTTATCACCCAATTACATAAAAAAATGGTGGGTAAAAACCCCAATTTGTGAATTCTTATCTGGAGCTCTGCTATTGTGCTATTTTGTGGCGATCAGTTTTTATTGGTGGAGGAAGCTGGAGAGAACCATCCCTCTTTGGTAGAAAAACTGACAATCCTTGTCAATTAGGATTGGAGTTGAGGGCACCTGTCACGTGCAGGATTCGAACTCACAACCTCAGTGTTGATAGGCTAGCCATATAGTAGTTTAACTACTTAGACCACTCGGATACTGAAGACCCCATTCCAATATGACAAAGATCATTGAACCCTGAAATTGTCAGGGTAATGAGACATGGGGCATCTACAGAATGTCATATTTCTCTTACAAAAAATCCAAAGATAAGATAAAAAAATTTAAAATTAGAAATTGGCCAGATGACAAATTTCTTACAATACTTCAATAAATTGCTTCGCCGAGCGCAGCTGGATATGACCGCAGAGGTCCAACCATGAACAGTTGGGGCAAAAATGGACACAATATTCGTGCTTGATACAGGTCTGAATTTGGATTGAAATTAAATGTTTGACACATAACAGGTTTCTGACACAGAATAACTGTAGTCAAAGAACTTAGAATTGGTTATATGATTTGAATTTATATTCAATTTTTTGCTTTTGTGCAATTCACTATGCTGTTGCAAATTGACCCCCCTCCCCCCAAAAAAAAAAAATTCACACCCCTTTTTTTTTTGGCAAAATTTTTTTTTTTTTCACCCCACCCCTTTTTTTTGGCAAAATAAAATTAATATTTGAAGAAATTCTCTTTTAAATTTCTGAAATCTGAAATGAGCAAAAAAAATTGTTCCCCCCCCCCCCACCCACAGTTTCTTTTTTACCCCCCCCCCCCCTTTTTCCAATAAAAAAATCTTTCCCTCAAGATATGGTAATTATCTCAATTCAATTTTCCAATGGAGTTTGCAACCATAATTACCCATAAAAGTCTTAAAATAGAAAATGACATACATAATCATGTCTAAAAATAATATATCTTTAATCAGCATTTTTATTAGTAACTTCTAAAAATAAATTGACAGCTAATCACCTCAAGACAATACAAAATTTCTTTGTACATAATTTTAAAGCAGTGTAAGGGAAGCAATCTAAATTTAAAATTGTACATAAAATTGATTGTCTATTAACAAGGAAACCCTTATTTTTCCCCCTTTTTGCCCCTAATTCCTAAACGGTTTGAGCCATTACCCCCTAAAGCCATCCTAACCATCAGAGAGATCCATACACCGTTCTACAAGTTATTGTCTGAAAACTAGAAAAATGCTTATTTGGGCCCCTTTTTTGGCCCCTAATTCCTAACCTGTCAGGACCATAACCCCCAAAATCAATCTCAACCTTCCTTTTGTGGTAATAAACCTTGTGTTTAAATTTCATAGATTTCTATTAACAAATACTAAAGTTATTGTCCGGAAACCAAGTGTCTTCGGACGACGACAACGACGTAATAACAATATACGACACAAAATTTTTTTGCGGTCGTATAAAAACAGGCATAATTCTTGCCTCTTTTAAAGCAACATGTATCTTCTGACATTTTCTCCAAAAATATCACATCATATTAAGTAAAATGTCCCCCTATTTTTTGCTCCAATTACAACATTTTTTAAGTTAATTTGATGGACTGGCAACTGAATTCAAGAATTTTTGTAAGTTAAGTAAATCTCCTGTACAATTTGTTTTTAATCCACATTGCATTGAACTTTTCAATGGCATTCTGATTGGTCTTCTCAAAGGTCAATAATGGATTCTCGTTGATGTTGTCATAGGCAAATGGCTTCAGATTTAGCTTTTTCATGGAACCTGACCATTGGTTTTGTGTAAGGATCTTTGATCTGAGACCTTTTGGTGGAATCTTAAAACAGCCAAGTTCGTAATCTGCAATAGTTATATAAGCCAGGTCTATGATAATCTTGACACATCCACTAAATGTTGAGTTAGAAAGGTCAAGGTTGAAGAATTTCAGGCACATACTGGCTATTTTCTTGGTGTATGGCAGCTCTGCACATAATGCTGGAGGACTCTTAGCTAAAAATAGATAGAATGAAGGACAAAATCAAAAACAAAAACTTTGATTAATAAACTGTTAACACAAAGATATGTCTCGCCGTTTTGTTATTTTGATAGTAAAATACATGTAAGTTAAGGATGTTCTTAGGTGAAATTAAAAAAATCTAGCATTCAAAATTGATACTTTAAGTTGAATGAGCATTAGTTAAGGAACAAAAAAAGCTAAAAATATTGATAGGTTAAGGAGCTCCTTTTTGAGATATTTGATTTTTTAAAAATGGCAGGAAAAGGATGACTCTGACTTTTACCTTATATTTGCATTGGTATTATTCGGGTCTCAAATCGAAAGAAAAGAAATCAAGAACATGCTTAAATTCCGGTATATGACCTTTTATGAGTTACTAAAGTCTTTTATGAAAAGAAAAAAGGGTGTTATGGGGCAAAATATTTTACCCTGTGTTGAACATGTTGAAGGAAAAAAACCAAGGAGTCCGAAAATCTGACACAAATTCCTAAACCTCACCTAATTACATCCTTAAGCAAAATATTTAAAGTTAGCAAAACATGACTGAAGGTAAAGGGCTGCATTCAATCTCCATGGAAATGGGATCTACCAATGGTAATACAACTGCATACCAAATATCATTGACCTACCACTAGTGGTTCCCCATAACGTGACCTAATCACAAACTTCATTTTGTAATACATGTAAACTAAACAAAAGTTTCAAATTCAACACCCTATGACTGAGGGGGCAGGGCCAAATAATCTCCATGGAAAAGAGATGTGCCAATGCTAATACAACTGCATACCAATATCATTGACCTACCACTAGTGGTTCTGCATAAACTGACCTAATCACAAACTAATACATTGCTGATGGCGCCAGTCGCCATCGCCGATGCCTGAAACAGCATACCTATGTCTAGCTTTTTGATTCCTTCAAGGCAAGACAACTAGAGGCTCTAAAGAGCCTGTGTCGCTCACCTTGGTCTATGTGCATATTAAACAAAGGACACGGATGGATTCATGACAAAATTGTGTTTTGGTGATGGTGATGTGTTTGTAGATCTTACTTTACTGACCATTCTTGCTCCTTACTATTATCTCTATCTATAAGGAACTTGGCCCAGTAGTTACAGTGGAAAATACTTTGTAAAAATTTACAAAAATTTACAAAATTTATGAAAATTGTAAAAAATTGACTATAAAGGGCAATAACTCCTTAAGGGGTCAATTGACAATTTTGGTCATGTTGCCTTATTTGTAGATCTAACTTTGCTGTACATTATTGCTGTAAACAGTTTATCTCTATCTATAACAATATTCAAGATAATAACCAAAAGCTGCAAAATTTTCTTAAAATTACCAATTCAGGGGCAGCAACCCAACAACGGGTTGCCTGATTGGTCTGAAAATTTCAGGGCAGATAGATCTTGACCTAATGAACAATTTTATCCTCATCAGATTTGCTCTAAATGCTTTGGTTTCAGAGATATGAGCCAAAAACTGCATTTTACCCTATGTACTATTTTTTAGCCATGCCAGCCATCTTGGTTCGCGGGCGGGGTCATCGGACACATTTTTTAAACTAGATACCCTAATGATGATTGTGGACAAGTTTGGTTAAATTTGTCTTAGTAGTTTCAGAGGAGAAGATTTTTGTAAAAAATTACAAAAAATTACGAAAAATGGTTAAAAATTGACTATAAAGGGCAATAACTCCTTAAGGGGTCAACTGACCATTTTGGTCAAGTTGACTTATTTGTAGATCTTACTTTGCTGAACATTATTGCTGTTTACAGTTTATCTCTATCTATAACAATATTCAAGATAACCAAAAACGGCAAAATTTCCTTAAAATTACCAATTCAGGGGCAGCAACCCAACAACGGGTTGCCTGATTGGTCTGAAAATTTCAGGGCAGATAGATCTTGACCTAATGAACAATTTTATCCTCATCAGATTTGCTCTAAATGCTTTGGTTTAAGAGATATGAGCCAAAAACTGCATTTTACCCTATGTACTATTTTTTAGCCATGTCGGCCATCTTGGTTCGCGGGCGGGGTCATCGGACACATTTTTTAAACTAGATACCCTAATGATGATTGTGGACAAACTTGGTTAAATTTGTCTAAGTAGTTTCAGAGGAGAAGATTTTTGTAAAAAATTACAAAAAATTATGAAAAATGGTTAAAAATTGACTATAAAGGGCAATAACTCCTTAAGGGGTCAACTGACCATTTTGGTCAAGTTGACTTATTTGTAGATCTTACTTTGCTGAACATTATTGCTGTTTACAGTTTATCTCTATCTATAACAATATTCAAGATAATAACCAAAAACGGCAAAATTTTCTTAAAATTACCAATTCAGGGGCAGCAACCCAACAACGGGTTGCCTGATTGGTCTGAAAATTTCAGGGCAGATAGATCTTGACCTAATGAACAATTTTATCCTCATCAGATTTGCTCTAAATGCTTTGGTTTCAGAGATATGAGCCAAAAACTGCATTTTACCCTATGTACTATTTTTTAGCCATGTCGGCCATCTTGGTTCGCGGGCGGGGTCATCGGACACATTTTTCAAACTAGATACCCTAATGATGATTGTGGACAAGTTTGGTTAAATTTGTCTTAGTAGTTTCAGAGGAGAAGATTTTTATAAAAGTTTACGGACGACGGACGACGGACGACGGACGCAGGACGACGGACGACGGACGCCAAGTGATGAGAAAAGCTCACTTGACCTTTCAGGTCAGGTGAGCTAAAAATCAGTACTAACTAATGACATCAATCTCATCCAAAACATCGCAAACTTGATCCTTTTTTTCATCATGCAAGTATGTACTAATGTACTAAAGTTTGTCTAAAAATCTGCCAATATAACATGTAGGACAAATAAAAGTTTTAGCACATGTAGTAAAATCTACACAAGATACACATGTACTCTGAATTTAAGGATTGTTATTCATGTGTTTATTCAGGAAAATTAAACACTTTTAAGAAATATTTTAAATGCATGTGCTGTTATTCACATACAGAAAACCAGATATAGTTGAATTATCATATTTGTTCCTGGACTTTTGTCATTCAAATATGAAAAATTCCCTCTCAGAAAAGACAGGGTACTCGACCTAGGACCCACACTTATTCAAAATCTATGAGTCAACATATTGCCTTCAAAAAGACAAGTGTCTATACAATATTGCATTCTCTTAATTTCTCAAATTGAAAATAACACTTTATATTAATCTTGTAGGTCCAAAATGCTTTTTTAGATTTACCTTTAACAGAAATACTCAAATCTAAAAAATTGAAAGACAGGGAAGTATAAATACATAGAAACGTTAGGAGATATAATCAGAATAGCCAAAATTCATCTAAGGTCAACTTTACCTCAGGGAGTTAGAGCCTTACTTCCTTAATAATTTCTTAATTTAATGAAGCATTGACTACTGTCTGAGTTGATGATACATTATGGTACTAACAGTCCACAGCAGTGGTTTCAACCAACTGCTAGTAAATGAAAATAGCACTTGATAAATTTTGTCATACAATGCGATTTCTGGATTTACCTTAATCAGGAAAGCTTAAACTTAAACATTTAAAAGTCTGGAATAGTTTGGAATACAATCCAACAATTTTAGATAGTCTTTGTGTGTAATATATTTATGTGCTGCTAAATGCTATACTTGTGGTGACTCCTAATGTTATTTACTTGTGTTGCTTATTCTTCAATTGATCTTTACCATACATTGCATTTACCTGATGGGGTATTTAATTTGCCACTGGACAATTAACAACCATCTATCATCATCAATTGAGAGGGTTATACTCCCATTTTTAAACAACCCTCTGCATAAATAACCTTAATTAAACAGAATTTCATATGGAGAGACATCAAACTATATACCATTTTAATGCTTACCTGAAACTGTTTCATTGATGAAGGCCTTCCCATCAAAAGTCAGAGTGAGCGAAATACCATAGTCTGTTGGTAAATATGTGAAATTAACACACACTGAAATATAAAAAGAGAAGTTAAAGGTAGGTGCAGTTTTTATCCTGCAGTGAGGGGTTAGCTGTTGTTCTCTTTTAAGGTATAGAACCACTAATTAGGCCTGGTCAGATTAAGAACATACAAGAAAATAGTACAATATTTAAACCAAATAGTTCCTACTCAAAGCTTTCAACTTTGTCAATAAGTAAAATATTTCGGTAATTTTGATTTCAAATAAAAGCTTAAGGACTTGGGATCACTGTGGAACCCTTGTTAAAAGTTTCTTTTGAATAATAAAAAAATATATGAAATTAAGATAGGAGGGCATATTTGCCCTGTTGCTCAGACCAGAAGTACCTGTTTTTGTACTACTCAACTTCCGAGAACCAGTGCCCTCATATATATGCAATTAAAGGTATGTTGATTTTTTCAGCACAAGTCAGGATAAGGTATAGTTTTGACATGAAATGACTATCTCTTTATTCAAACTTAAGACAAAACAGGTATGAATGCTTGAAGTGGCAGAATTTAACATAGAAAGCAAGGGGTTATGAATTAGAGGTGTTATTCCTTAAGGCCCTGTTTTTCTTGCTTTACTCCAACAAGAAATTGTCTACATTTGTTCTGATTAAGACATTGATAGAGCTATGCAAATTGAATTATTATTTAAGGTCATGTTTTTTTTCAATATTTTATCTTTAAAACTTGGCAATGCAAAAGTATGAAATGTCATATTCTTCAGACTTGTTTAACTCTACAAGAAAAATTACATAAAGAATGTATTGTATAAAAACAAGATAACCAAGTGATTTGATTAAAGATGATTGTATTATATGTATAGCAAATAATTGATTTACTATGGTTAACTTAAAAATATACTTCTCTATAATGTTGCATTATTACAAAATCACCATATAACCAACTTGCCATATTTTGACTATTCTTAGCTGTGTTTTCTAACCAATGTCTATATGATAGCAATGATTGCATGCATGGTAGACCTGTATTTACACAAACTTCATAAACAATGTCATTATGGTAATGATTTAAAACTGATCAACGGAATGGTTATGGTTACCATGGTTACCTGTACTATTTAAATCCACTTCATCTAGTTCTACATGTTGACAGCAGCCAGCATTGTAGCCCACAACATGACACTCTCCGTTCCTGCCACCATGGATGATTAATCTCTCATTCAAGTGTTGGATCAGTCTCTCATTTTGTACCTGACCCAGTCTGGTCTGTAATTCTATTAATAAAAATCAATAAGTGAATAATTACTATTGTGGATTCATTTATTTATTGTGGGTAGCAATTTTTGTGAATGGAGAGAAAATTGTATTTCGAGTATACAGTTACTTAAATATATTTGTGGTTTTGACTAATTCTGAATACAAGCTTTTAGGTATTTTGTACTTCTTTGAGCACTTAAGGATGTTCGCTACTCTGTTTCAAAATAACAAGCTTTTAAAAAGACTGTTATAAATTGATAGTATATAAATAACAGAACTGAAAAAGCAGAAAAAAGTGAAGGGTCCGTGTACTTGTTTTCGGGATATAAGCCTTTGAAAAATTGGCGGGAAATTATTCTCTCTAGATTTTTCATATATTTAACATTGGCACCTTTTTTCTTTCAAAAAGTATGAAAAAATAACAAGGATTTTATAAGATTTTAAAAAAGACTTTTTAAACTATATGTAATAAAATTATAAAAAGAAAAGTAGGGGTTAGCAGGAAAAATATGTATTGGCACTACATGGATAAAACCAGAGGATTCCGAATATCTGACAAAAATTCAAAACCATTAGGAGCAAACATCCTTAAATTCATGGTTCACTTATACCCACAAAATCCACAAAAATAAGTACCCCTCAAATAATAGTAAGTCATATCATCATGGTTATAATGTTTTGGGTTGGGTTTTTGTTGTTGTTTATTTCAAGAATTGGATGTTGATGGCATATCTTTGTTTGTTTCTGTTTATTATATTCATATCTTTGTTCATACAAGATATATATAGACATAGGACGACATTTATAGAGCTGCATGTCTCACATTCAAGAATTTGTATAATTGCGTCTATTATTGAAAACTGTATGGTGGCCACAGACCACAATTAAAAGTTCTTTATAACGTTTTGTTTCATTAAAAAAATTGCACCGATTCGTTTTGTCAAATATTTTGTGTGTGTAAAGTACAGTACTAGTCCAAACATATATCCAACATTCAGAAAGATTGCTCCCCAGTATCTTACAAATTTAGCCAATACACATCCATACCCCTATGGACAAGTCGAGATGTTCCGAAAACTGTAAATATCACCTTTTTGCACCTGGCCTAATCACTCTTTCCATATCAAAATCAGTTAAAATACAACATCCAAAAGTTTATTTCACATCTCTTCTTTCATTTCCATCCAAAAAAAACTGAGAAATGAGTGAGGAAGGGAAAGAAAAAAATTAAGAAAAAATACACTTTAATTAAATGGAACTATATTCTTGGACAACAAAAAGCGGGATCATTAATTGTGGTCTGGACCTAGTGTCCTCTAGATGTACATCCTTTGGTTATTTTGGGATACCACGATTTAACAAGAACTCCCAAGAACTGAATATTGACCCGAGAACCAATATGTGTTACCCAACAACTTTATTTTATACGGTGTTATACCATGTATACTGCTTTTACAGATATTAAAGTATATAATTTTTAGATACAAGTCATTTTTATTCAATAAATTTATATACTTTAATATCTATATGATGGTACCGGTTATTTTATAGTTATTAGGTTGTTTTTTTTAATTAGCAGTTTCCTACATATTTCATCATAAATCTCCTTCCTCCTCTTTAAAGTTTTAACAAAAAACAAGTATGAAATTGAAGATGTGCAGACCTGCCATCTATCCCGATTGATGGGGATATCCTCATGAAAGGGGTTAGAGGGACTATTTAAATCCTCTATTTACTATTATATGAACTTAACAGCTAAAATACCTCAAAATAGTAATTCAAATGAGTTTAATGGCATTTAAATACATAAAAACTCCTTAAAAATCATAGTATATCTTATCAAATATACTTTAGACATGTATAAAACATGCACTAGGTCCTCTTAATGTGCTTAAATAATTTCCCCCCATGGAGGTTTTGAAAAGTTGGTAGACCTGTAGGGATGTGAGACAATCTTTTAGTTTTATGTGGGGAAATATAAATTGTTAACATGAGTAAATTGTTATACCTCTTACACTAAATGCAAATATGTGGCAAGACGAAAGAAGAATCACAAATATCAGATCTGTCAAAGTCATTTTTGTTTCCCCAAAATTCCTTCCTGGAATGAATTTAGAGTGACTTCCCTTTTCCCAAATTTTCTCTAGACTTTTCTAAACAAAAGATGGAAAAATCCTTGTCATGTGACAGTACCTGTTTGTCGGCCGCAGTCTGGTCAAAATGGCGGCAGTCTTGAATTTTTTCTGTTTATCTATTTTACTAAATTTCAGCAGTGGCAAGCAAAAAATATACAAGATAAACGACGCTATTGTTGCAGAGTATGAACTGCCAAGCCTTCCGTATGACTATGATGAACTAGAACCTTACATTGACAAGGAAACGTTGAGTGTTCATCACCAAGGACATCATGCAGCTTACACAAAGAAGTTAAATGCTTTTCTAGAAAGCTGGAGGCAGTATAATAATTCTGTAATTACGAAAAGAAATCATTATTTTTTTCTTTCAAACAGTATAATTTTTTAAATACATTTACGATGCTTTAGTTCTAAGATAGTCAGTTTTACTCCAGTGTCCGAATTCACTTTAGTCTTTAAACACAAAAAGACGACTTTCTAATTCAGGCACTTTCCTGTAAATCTCCTATGTTATAATGCTTATGTTATTACGTCACAGTAGGAACCAATTGTAAGTCGACGTTGTTTAAGCTGATTGACCCCTGGTCAACCGGTGTAACTCATTTATAGAAAATAATTAGAGATTGGTGTTTGTCAGTATTGGGATCAGTACAACATTGTCTGCAAGAAAACATCAACATACAGTCTTCACGCTGAGTGGCAGCCCAGGCAGCCCAGGCTTGTAAAATTGCTCTTGGGCCTGTAAAAATCATATTTACAAGCCAACAGAATCTAACTAAAAATTTTCAAAAATTGAGCTCCGGGCTTGCAGATTTAGCAGTTCATCGTGAAGACTGAACATATGGACGATGTCACTTTACGGTAGGTTTTCATCAGGGTGAGGAAGTCAAACTAGAACAGGGTGGGTGACATTTTTTAAATGGCAGGGGTGGATCAAGCCATTTTTTAAAGGGAGTTCCAACCGAGGATAAAGGGGGGAGGGGTCCAGCCATTTGTCCCCATTCAAAAAATAAGTTGAATCTGTCATCCTGCTGTCTTCCATAGTTGTTTTTTTTTCAGCTACACTTGAGTTTTTATCTCTTACATGTCCAAAGTTTTAACTATGGCTTTTCAGGCCTCGACAATAACGCTTGTCCTATTGTCCGGTACCAGAGGAAAAAAAGGTCGGACAAGTAAAAGCTATATCAAGCTTGTCCGACGGGACAAGTAATATTATTCTGCAGAAAATAAATTTAATCCAACTTTGATGAACAAAGTAATTATAAACAAAAAACAAGAAAAGAAGATAAAAACAAGTATTAATTTGACATGTTTACTTGCAATCGATACTTTAAAACTGGTTCTTTGTCAGGTACTGTTTAAGAGGTAAAAGGCATACTTTTCTCAGAAACCATTTTTTCTGATCCGAATCAGCGATGCGCTTTGTAGATAAGGTAATTTTTCAAGACAGTTCGTCACCAGCTCGGAAACGATTTGGCTCCAAATTTAATAGACAGTTTGGCACCGTAGGAGACATATTTAATAGACATGATTAATAGACGGTTTGGCAACGCAGGAGACATTTCATTTCGGGACCAAGACAAATCAGTACCTCGTTTTCCGACCTTATTCTGTTGCTTTATAATAAATATCATACCTGTAATTTTTTTTAGCGAAGAAATTATTTACCATAAAATTCACAAAATCATATTTGATCATATGTAGAAAAAAACAATACTTGCAATACGGTGACCTATAGTTGTTAATTTCTGTGTCATTTGGTCTCTTGCAGAGAGTTGTCTCATTGGCAATCATACCTCATCTTCTTTTTTTTATTGATTGCCATTGAAAAAACTTTTTTCAACTTAAAAACCAAGATACAAATCCAATGAGTGTACATTGACAGGCCTATCAGACGGTGCCTCATGTGCAGAGTATGATGAGACTTTGGCATTGAAGAAAACTAGAACCTAAGTCCTGTGACATGACTAGATCAGTTGTTATCGACTCATATTTTTGAAGAGTATTTCAAAAGATATAAATCAAATTCTGTTCTATTGTTTTAATTCGTTTTGTTCCTTGAATCAACTTAAAATGCAAAAACGGTTATCAATAAGATTGTTTTTGGACAAGTTACAATTTCATTCGGACAATTAAGTTTTGGTATGTACTTGTCCTACTGGACAAGTTGAAAAAAAAGTTATTGTAGAGGCCTGCTTTTTAATCATTAAAATTGAGAATGGAAATTGTCTATTTTAAATGTTGGTCCTCCTCATCCTTTGCAGTCAAGGGTTGGCAATAGCTCCTTCTTATCATGTATGTGGTCACAGGATTGACAATCACTGACTTTATATCCATCACTCAAAATTTTACATTTTTTTATCAGATAGGTTTTCACATTGTCTCTTTGGGTCCTCGAAAGCTCTTCAACTTTATACTTTATTTGGCCTTTTTAACTTTTTCGATTCAAGCATCACTGATGTAGTGATGAGGATTTAATATATTATATAAAAAACAAAACATGTGTCTGGTGCAAAAAATTGTAATTCTGGTCTCTATGATAACCTACCCAATCCAAACTCATAGAACCGACTCTTAGACAGATGATTCTGTTCATATTAAAAAGTGTTAGTTCAAATTACAATTGTATTGAAAATATTTATGTAATGTTCTGTTACAAGACTACAACAAAGACATAAAGCGGTACACTTACTCAAAAGGTCATGCAGATTTTTTTTTTTTTTTGTGGGGGGGGGGGGTGGGGAGGGGGGACTGGGCACACGGGGCAAAACCTTCAGAAATTCTCCTGTGCATATCCCTTAGATTGTATATGTCGTTTCTATCTTTCATCATAGAACTATGTAGGCCCTTTATAGCTTGCTGTTCGGTGTGAGCCAATGCTCCGTGTTGAAGGCCTTACCTTGACCTATAATGGTTTACTTTTATAAATTGTTACTTGGATGGAGAGTTGTCTCATTGGCACTCATACCACATCTCCCTATATCTATAAACAATATGAAAGGAAATATGAGTTTGACCTACAATTATGTACTGTGGATTAGTCAGATTTCATGGGATACAGTTTTTTCGTGGATAGCATGGGTATAGGCATGATAGGTAAACCACATATTTAAATGTTCAAAAGTACAAATTATCTATTTTTTTTTGTATGCAGACTTGTTAAAACCACAATTGAAGAATTATCGAAAATACAATATTTCCTCAATCAACGAAAATTGATATCCACAAAAACAAATGAATCCACAGTAACTGAATTCAATAAATCAGTGATTGAATTGAGTTGGCAGAAGTTAGCTGCCCATAGTGGGCAGGTCAAATGACAACATCTACATGTCAGGGTTGTATTGTATGTCATATCATAATCAGACTCATTTATATACATCATGTATTAGATATAAAATAATATGTGTAATTTCTATTTGAAGTGGCCAGCAGAAGAGTCTATCCAGACGATTTTGAGAGCTGTTGACAGAATTCCTCAGCAATATAAGTCCGCAATAGTCAACAACGGTGGAGGGTAGGTGTTATGCGACTGTCATACAAGTGAGAGGTTTAGCTAGCTATAAAACCAGGTTTAATCCACCATTTTCTACATAAGAAAATGCCTGTACCAAGTCAGGAATATGACAGTTGTTATCCATTTGTTTGATGTGTTTGAGCTTTTGATTTTGATTAGGGACTTTCCGTTTTGAATTTTCCTTAGGGTTCGGTATTTTTGTTATTTTACTTTTTACAAGAAGAAAAACACAAGTAGTATACTGTAAATTCAAAATATTTTGCTTGCAGGGCACTGTATTGCCTTCAACAATGAGCAAAACTCATCCTGTAAAATTGGTTGTAAAAGGCACTGACATGGCAAAATGTGAAACAATTTAAATGAAAAAAAAAGATTGGTCTGATTTATAACTAAACAGTTTACAAAAAACAAATATGACAGACACCAGTCAACAATAACTGAATTACAGGCTCCTGACTTTGGACAACCCTGTTATATAATAACTATTGAAAGTCTATTGCTGGTGTAAATCACCCACAGTTACCAGCAGTCACCCATAAAATCCCAACTAAAATAGTAATTTTTAACTGAAATGTATTATTGTACTGTATATGATATTGATGATGTCACCTAATCTCAACCTATATTTAACCATTTAATTCGATATCTTTACATGTAACAGATTGGCAAACAATTATCTAATTACTTTTAGTCGATGTTGTCATCACACTAAGCTAGTAACTTAACCAATCATATCTTTATTTTTTTTGTAGATTTGTGAACCATAACTTATATTGGTGGGTCATGTCACCAAACCCTGACAGAGAAGACAGAATACCTACTTCAAATCTGATGGAAGATATTGAAACAAGTTTTGGCAGCTTTGATAAATTTAAGGAAGCATTTACACAGAAAGCACTGTCCTTGTTTGGATCAGGTATTTCAGATTTTTTATGAAATTGAAAAATTATCTCCCCTTGTTTGGATCAGGTATTTTAGATTTAAATAATGAAATTGAAAATTATCTCCCCTTGTTTGGATCAGGTATTTTAGATTTGAATAATGAAATTACACAATTATCTCCCCTGCTGAAGATTTTACATTTTTTTTATATTTAACTCTGCATTCTGTGATTTAAATATAAAATTTACTATTTCATGATTTAAAAAAAAATCATTTATTCAGTTGACAACAAATGCATAGAACTTAGGCCAAGTAAATTTAATTAGTAGATTTTCATCCAAATTTTTGAAAAAAATGGGGTGGGTGGGAGGATTTTATTTTTTATTTTTTATTAGATATGAAACGCTCTTGTGACGTGTTCTTCATATATGCAAGTGTAATAATAAGGTTCTATCGTGTATATACATGTATAACGAATCAAACATAAAAAGAAATGCAAAAACCAAAATTTGAAACAGGAAGTTATTAATGAAACGAAATTATCGAAAGTTACCGGTAACGAAAATGAACAAAATCCGGAAATCCTAAATTTTCCAA